ATCTGCCTCTCTTGCCTTTCTCTTCCCCCAGCGCCTCCTGGAGCAGCGACCCGCTCTCCTTCCTGCAGAGCCTGTGCCACACCGTGGTGGTGCAGGGAGTCTCCGCGGTCCTGGCCTTCCCGCAGAGCCCCGGGGAGATGCTGGAGCTGGACTTCATCTCCTCGGCTCTGAGCATCCCGGTCCTCAGCATCGTGCGCAGGGAGTGCCTCTCTTGCCTTTCTCTTCCCCCAGCGCCTCCTGGAGCAGCGACCCGCTCTCCTTCCTGCAGAGCCTGTGCCACACCGTGGTGGTGCAGGGAGTCTCCGCGGTCCTGGCCTTCCCGCAGAGCCCCGGGGAGATGCTGGAGCTGGACTTCATCTCCTCGGCTCTGAGCATCCCGGTCCTCAGCATCGTGCGCAGGGAGTTCCCGAGAAACAGCCAGGTGCGGAGCGCAGGGGAGAGGAAGGGGGGCTAGGGGAGTGGCAAGGGGCTGTGTGTGTGCGGGGCGGCGCGGGGGGTCCCTTGCGAATCGACACAGGGCTGGGGATCTCGCCCTGCCCCACCCAAACCATCTAACGCCCGGTCCCAGCCGGCGGCGGGGTGCGGGAGGCGCCCCCTGCATCGCCGAGCCTGGGGGCGTCAGGAGAGAGCTAGCGCCCGGGCGCTCAGGTTCAGCACCACGGACAGCGGCGCTGGCGAGGAGGGAGCCAGGCAAATTGTATCTCCCGCAGCCTGCCCTGGAAACACCCTAGTGCTCACTTTTTAAAAGGACTGTTCCCAGCCGTGTGTGCTTCCGCGGGGGGGTTGCTAGGAAGGGAGGGCCGAAAGTTGCCCATTTCAGAACATGCATCAGTAGCGTGGACCTCCTCTCTCTCTCTCTCCCACACACACACACACCCCGCTGTGTATAGATGGAACAGGTGAAGGACCAGCCACCCCTAGATGAAGGTCTAAAAGAACTGGCCTATGAGGGGAGGATGAAAGAATTAGGTTTGGAAAAGGGAAGACTGGAGAGGGGGAAGATGACAGCAGTTTTCAAGCACCTAAAAGGATGCTACAAAGAGGAGAAAGAAAAATTGTTCTCCTTGGCCTCTGATGAAAGGACGAGCAGTAATGACCTTCAGTTGCAGCATAGGAGGTTTAGTTTGGACAGTAGGAAAAACTTCCTACCTGTGAGGGTGATTAAACACTGGAATAAATTGTTTAGGGCGATTGCGGAATCTCCATCGCACTGGAGATATTTAAGAGTGGTTTAGATAGGCATCTGTCAGCGAGTGCTTGGCCCTGCCTTGCAGGTAGGAGACCGGACCTGATGATCTCTCAGGTCCCTTCCACTTTTAGTATTCTATGCATCTATGGTTGCCTAAGAGGTTTCTGGCACTAGAGCCTTCCTTCGGGCAAGGCAACAGAATGCCATTTCCATTCAATTTATGCCCAAAGCACATTTTATATTGTTCTGTTCCAAAAAAGGGGGGGAGAGGTGCCCCTCTAAAACAGAGGCAAGAGGCCCCAGAGTTAGTTTGTTATATGTCTCACATTGGCAGGCTTCACTATTTGGATTCCTAATGTCACTACAGAGGGGTAGTAGCAATAAAATGTAATGACAACATGCAGCACACAAGTTCTAAACCCCCCTCTTTTCCATCTCAAGACAAGGAGGGAATTGACAGCTGGATGCCCATATAACAACAGAACTCTAAGGAAGCAGACCTTAACTGAAACAAAAGTGGGTTGGGGTGCCGTTCAAGTCAATCTTATTACACCAACAGCCAATATAGGAGAGCAAAGTGTTAAAAAAAAAAGACAAGTAGATCAGAGTGAAAAGGGAGAAGCAGCTCCAGAATTGAACTGGTTAATCACAAACACTGGCCTCAGAATTATAAAGGTGGAGGTCATGTCTATTATGCCCAGAGCACTCTGTGATACTGGGGAATTTATCTAACAGGTGGTACCCCATTCACTGCATCAGAAAAAGTCATTTAGACTGCATACACAGAAGTATCCCCCATATCCTCTCTCTCTCTCTCTCATTCATACACACACACACACACACACACACACACACAGCTATTCTTTGTACAATATCTAATGACTAATGTATGCTGACAAATCTAAACATTGTAATTATCAAGGAAAACTGTTTACTTTGTGAAGTTCACTCCCCAAATAATAATCAACTCAAGTAATCATAATACAAATTTAGCAGTTTACAACAATTGCTGAATTTCCTTCATTTTCACACCAATGCAAATTATACTGAACTTTTGACAGGTCCTTAATTTGGAGGCAGAAGTTCATACCCAATGACACAAAGGAACTGAGATGTGCTTAGCATTCTTTTATGCAACCTTCCAAGGAATGTCGCCATAGCCAGACAGTATGGTTTACCTTCCAACCCCAAGATTTTTGATTGCCATGCACTAACTTTTCCAGGGAGATGAGCCATAGACATATGGTAGAAAACAGGATCACTCTTCCCACTACAAAACTGGGTCAGTGGCTTGGGGACCAAATGGAAATCTCTATTACAGTTTGTGGGGAAGCTGAATATTTTTGTAGCAGTATTCCCTGAATTTTCAGAATGAAATAGTATTTTAATGGTGAACTTCAAATGAAGCATCAGCTGCTCTGTTTGGCCAAGATTTATTAGTAAAATGAAACTTCATAATTCCTTGCAGTGCAGCTAAAGGTCTTCATGGTCAGTTCAGAATGGAGATAACACTCCGAGACCGATAAACCAGGAGGGGTGGGACAAGCAGAATTTATGCCTTTCTGGTTGTTCAGTTGCTTCACATATACACTGATTTTGTGTGGCAACAAGTTTCTCTAGTAGTGGGTCTCAAAGCATGGGACATTTGGGGGCACCACTGGACAGTGGTAATCAGCTGAGTGTGGCTTTGGGCTTCAAAAAGGAAAATAAAAGTTGTTTTAGATGAAATGAAGAATCCCTGATACAATGGCAAATTTGGGCACACAGCAGATGCTGCTGCAGTAAATGGAATTGTGACATTTAAATTTGCAGATCAGAGGCAAAATCAAGCTGACTAAGAAAGGGCTTTGTCATGTCAGAGAATACCAAGTGCCAAATGGCATGAGCTTATTGGGTACATGGTATCTCCAGAAATGTCATTTTTTTGTGAAGCAGCAATATTTGATTGTTATTTTTAAACTACACCATGAATCCCAGCTCTTCAGTTGATAAAGGATCTCTCAGTACTATACAAAGTTTACAGTATTTCATTTGCTTTCATGATCTCATTTCCCCCCCAGCCCACATAGTTGGAGATAGTGAAAGAGACTGACAGAAGTGTCTTTAAAAAGGTGGCTTAAAATCCTCCAGCTTCCCATACAAAGGGGTATTCAGCTGATTCTTGCTTTCTTCCAACTCCCGCTGCATTATTCTGTGTTTTTCCTACATGTACAGTACTAGGAAGAAAGGTCCTGATTCTCATTTAAGCTAAGGTCTCTTTATACTGCCAGGGTAGTGTTCAGAGCCTTAAAGTAACCAACAATCAGGCTCTGTCTGGACAGAATTGTTAATCTTTCAGGATCCAAACTCTAAAGGCACAACAGTCATTCTGGTAGTACGACTATTGTTTTGTATCCTTCCTGCATTAGGTGAAAGCTGGTTACACAACTGTCTGCCATTAAAAGCAGTAATGTGTATGTAATGTGACATTAAAAGCTGTATTTGCTGTCCTGTGTTAACCAGTTTCAGAACCAAAATCTCCTCATAAGATCAGGATTAGTCCCATATCATTTCCCTTCAATACTGTGTGTGTGTTCGCCAGAAAGAGTTTGAGTCTTGTTTTGAGAATGGGCACATTTTCCAATGGGATGTGTGCATGGCCAGCTATTGGACTGGTAGAATATCTATCATCCACAGTTTTGCCAGTCTGTCTGTAACCTTGGTGTCTATAAAGGAAGAGGCATGCAATGGGAAAGTGTCCTTGTTTGTAGAGTGTGTTTTCAGGGATGATTGGACAGCCCTTGCTTAGAGGCTGGGAAACCAATATTGGTGTCAGAAGGAACAAATACTGTTTCCCAAACTACGTTTTCAGTTCATTGGTTGCCTTGTTTAATGCATTGGCTGCCAGTGCAATTTTATATATTATTACAACCTCATCTGACTGGAACTCATCTCTTCCCAGCATGACCTACAGATTATTAGACTCCCTGAGTATATTTGACATTTCAGCTTGGTTTGTGACATGCGGCAGCTTGACTCGCCATATTTGCTGTGTCAACGGGCTTTGTACTAGTAGAAGAATTGGAGGATCAATGGAAAATATTACATTATTTCCTGGATATGGTCTAGGAGGATGTCAGTTCATCCAGATTGAAGAGAACCCTTTTTCTCAGAATCAGCAAGCACTGTGGCTAAATTTCTTAACAAACATTTCAAAATGAAAAGAGTACAAACTTTTCATTTAAAAAAATGCCAAAACACACTGCCTTTTTTGAATTTTTTCCCCTCCCAGATTTTATTTGGCTGACAGAAGTCACTCAATTTGACCCAAATTCACTAATAGTTTCATTCACCCCAAACTGCATTCTATTGTCAAATGAACAAGTCACTGATATGCCTAGCTTTAAGTATAAGGTCCTTTCATGATTGCGCATATGGAAATTGGTTGTCCAAAAGGGTCAACTCAGATTCCTGTTTGCCTCTCCCTGTAGGCATATGTGGCTAGCACGTTAATTGTTTGATGGAAAAGACAGAATTATCGATGATGAGGCAGAAGTGTTTAAGAAATATTTCTCTTCTAAATGTGGGGAATAAAAGCAGCTGAGCTAGTAAGAGTAGATGATGAGACCCCATCCTTTGCATTCAAGTAGTATCCTAAGACTTCATTAAATGGCAGTTACTAAAGTCAGATGTTGAGTTAGCATGTTCAGATCATTTGCAGCCACGTATTTTTAAAGAGTTGAGAAGCATGCCGGACTATAAGTGTTGATTTTAAAGACGCCTTGGAACACTGGGAAGAAAGTTAATGTTGTGCCAATATTGTAAAGGGATCAACGGGATGACTCTGGTAATTATAGACCTGCCAGTCTGACATGAATCCTGGGCAAAACAACAGAGTGGGTGCCATCAGGGAACACCACAGCACCTCGTCTCTAAGCCTGCACTACCTTGCTCAGTCCCAATCAAGGAGGTTTATTCTTTCATAACAACACTTAAATAAACAGAAAGCAGTCTTAAGTCAATCCCTGGCTCTAGTCTGCAGGGCCACCCATCCCAGAGATATTTGGCTCTCCAGCTCCCAAGAGCTTCCTTGCTTTCTCCAGCTCTGTTCCCCTCTTAGAGTCACCACAATGGGGTTGCTTCCTTGAGCCTCACAATTCCTTGCTCCATGGACCCACCACAGTAATTAGCCCGACTCCACTCTGGCCTCAGCTGACTCAGCTAGTCTTAGTCCTTCCTCACAGGGTCCCATT